ACCCTCGGTGATGCCACCCCCTTCTGTCCAGAGAGCTTGAGGGGGGAGGAAGGAATAGGCATGGGCTCAGGGGGATGACAATTTGCAGATGACAATTTTCTACGTAGAAAATTCCAAGGAATCTACCAAAACAACTTCTAGAACTTATAAGTGAGTTCTGAAAGATCATAGTATATAAACATTCAAAAATAAGTTGCATTTCTATACACTGGCAATGAACATGTGAACACCAAAATTAAAAATATATTGCATTTCCCTGGCTGGTGGCTCAGTTGGTTGAGTGTCCTCCCATGCACCAAAAGGTCGCCAGTCAGTCAGAAGACAACAAGTCAGGGCACATGCCCGGGCTGGGGTCCGGTTTCCGGTCAGGAGGCAACCAATTGATGTTTCTCTCACATTGATGTTTCTCTCTTTCTCCCCATTCCTCTCTCTAAAATCAGTAAAAAAATATTAAAATATATATATATTGCATTTAATATCACTCCAAAAAATGAAATGCGTGGATGTAAACCTAACAAAGCAGGTACAGGACTAAGGCTGAAAACTACAAAATGCTGATGAAAGAAATCAAAGAAAATCTTTGGGACAGAGGGCTAAGCAAAGAGATCCTAGGACACCAGAAGCACAATCCACAAATTTGTCCACAAAAGGAAAAATGGATAAATTGAACCTCATTGAAATTAAAGACTGACAACATGGGATTTATTCCATGTTTGGAAAGCTGACTCAACAATTAAAAATCTGTTAATGTAATTCATCACATTGATAAACCAAAGAAGAAAAATTGTGTGTTTATATCAATAGATGCCTACAATTTGACAGACTCCATCACCCATTCATGATAAAAACTCTCAACAAGCTATGAGTGGGGTGAACGTTGTCAACTTGCTAAAGAACATCCACAAAAAACCTACAGAGAACATGATTCATGGTGAGGAACTCGGATGTTTCCCCTTAAGATTGGGGAAAAGACGAAGATGTCCCCTTTCACAACCAAATACCGCACTGGAAGTCCCAGCTAATGGAGTAAGTCAGTAAAAGGAAATGGAAGGTATACAGATTGAGAGGGAAGAAATAAAACTGTCTTTGTTCACAGGTGACATGATTGTCTCTAGAAAAATCCCATACAATCAGCAAAATCCTCCTAGAACTAATAAGCAATTACAGCACTGTCACAGGACACAAGATTAATATGCAAAAGTCAGTTGCCTTTCTATACACAAGCAATGAACAAATGGAATTTGAAATTAAAAACAATACCTTTACATTAGCACCCAAAAAAATCTTATGTGTAAATTTGACAAAATATGTACAAGGCCTATATGAGAAAAACGACAAAACTCAGGTGAAAAAAAAAACAACAAAAACCTAAATAAATGGATAGTCCATGTTCATGGACAGGAAGACTCAATATTGTCAAGATGTCAGTTCTTCCCAATTTGATTTATGTAACCTCAATAAAAATCTGAACAGACACCTCCCCAAAGAAGATACCATGTAGCAAATAAGCATATGAGGAGAGGCTCGTCACAGGCTGGCTGCACACACACAGTTCAGTGGTAATCAACCAAAATTCAGTGAGAATCGGTTGCTCTATGGAACTTACAAAAAAAAGAATACCTTTCGTTATTTTTAAACTGCGTGCTACACATCCTTTATTTTTTTAATTAAATGTATTGGGATGACACTGGTCAACAGGATCACATAGGTTTCAAGTGCAGATTTCTATGGTACATGATCTGTATACTGCATTGTATGTCCACCACCCAAAATCAAATCATCTTCCATCGCCACATATTTGGCCCCTTTTACCCTTTACTACTCTCTGCCCCCTTCCTGCTGTAACCACCACACTATTGTCTGTCTATGAGTTTTAGTTTTATACCCCACATATGTGTGAAATCATATGGTTCTTAGCTTTTTCTGACTGATTTATTTCACTTAGCATAATATTTTCAAGGTCCAAACATGTTGTCGCAAATGGCAGTGTTTCATCTTTCCTTATGGCAAAGCAGTATTCCATAGTGTGTGTGTGTAGATGATAGATAGATGATAGATAGATAGATGATAGATAGATAGATAGATAGATAGATAGATAGATAGATAGATAGATAGATAGATAGATAGATGATGATAGATAGATGATAGATAGATAGATAGATAGATAGATAGATAGATAGATAGATAGATAGATAGATAGATTGATAGATAGATAGATGATGATAGATAGATAGATAGATAGATAGATAGATAGATAGATAGATAGATAGATAGATAGATAGATAGATAGACAGACACCACCTCTTCTTTATCCAGTCCTCCATTGAAGGACACATTGGTTGTCTCCCTCTCTTGGCCACCATGAATAATGCTGCATGCTGCGCATGCTTTATATTAGTAAAATTTAGAATACACTTACATGTGTACACAGAGGTGGTTTTGTTCAGAGAGCCTGTTGTTAACTACTTAGCAGCACAGCCCTGGTTCAGGGGATTCAGGCGCCCAAGTTGCCGCCTCCCCTTGTGAGATGAAAGGTGTGAACGTCCTCGGAGGCCTCCAGTGACAGCTCACACCAGAGTGTTTAGGATCTGTGGGCACTTAAACATGAACCTGGGGACTCTGGGCTTTAAGGAGGCGTGGGTGGGGTCCCAACGGGTGGCTCTGTCTTCTGAGCTGACCAGTCTTCTGAGCACAGCTGGTTTCTCTCGTCCCCAGGCCTCAGTGTACTGTGTCGCCGCAGTGCTGTGGACAGCGGCCAAGTTCAGTGTCCCCCAAGACCACAAGCTGGCCCTGCCACACAGGCTCAAGACCCTTCTCCTGGAAATGGCCAGACGCAGTGCCCAGGAGCGGCCATCTGTGGCCGAGGCCATCAAGGTAAGACAGCGGTTGGGCATAGCTAACATCCAGGGCCTGGGTGGTGCCTACAGGAAAGAGGCTTCTTGTTTCCAGGAGAAGTCGGCATTGGGTGGGGAGGGCACGGGTTTCATTTGTGGAGGGCCCACCACCCCAGCATTGACCCCAGACCGCCTGGTCAGAGAGTGGGCACGGGCTATCCTGGGCCAGCCCAGACCCCTGCCCCGAGGCCCTGCCAGAGGGGAGGAGAGTGCTCCGTACACCCAATATCCCCACACCTCCTCTGAGTCCTCCTGCCTCCTCTCCCTGTCCAGGCTGGAGTTGGGGGCCTCGGGGCTGGGGAGACCACTTTGGAGCTGCGGCCTGGGTGCAAGGCCCTGTCTGCCCCTGACTACTGTCAAGTGAGGACAAGACCAATTTTCAGAAATAAACAAGGGAGGCGGGCTGTCCCCAAAGAGCAGTGTTTGAGTCTGTGAAGCGTGTAACTTGACTAAGAGGGACAAGTGTTTCTTCCTGCAAAGGCACAGATCCAGGGACAAGCGCCTGCTTAACACTCTGAGGGGCTCAGAGGCCAGGTCTGCACTTATCCTCCCAGGGCCCCTGCCTTGCTGTCAAGGTCATAAGGGACTCTGGTTTGCCTAGGTCAGATTACCTTCGTTGTGATTGCAGTTTTTCTCTGTCTTAGGTTTCGATCTTGGGGTTTTTTGTGTGTGCGAACTGACTGGTTCTGCCCTGGTGGTCCTGTAACATCACCCTTTCTTGTAGCTTTTAGAGGGATGGCTGGGAAGGCTATGTGTCCTTGTGCCCCCATCTCAGCACTGGGCGCCTGGCAGCCGGCCCCTCCGTGCAGATGGCCCTCAGCAAGGCAGGGTGGGGAGAAGCCATGGCCATTTCTGTCCAGTTTTTATTCCCAGCTCAGGACATCATGGAAGGACAGCCACTAGGTGTGTGGACCCAGACATTGATCACAGGCTGGCTGCCTCCAGGACATCGTTTAAAAAAGCCCCAAGACCCTCCGCAGCGTGCTCGCTGACGGACTCGTGTCCAGCCTGGCGGGAAATGGGGCTGGTGACTGAGCCGCCTGCATCTCCGTGTGTCATCTGTGTGGCCTGTGTCCTTGCTTTCAGATATGTGGCAGTTACCTCCTTCAGCGAGGCATGGACAGCAGAAAGATTTTAGCCCACCTGAGGGCATCTACCTATAAGGTAAGGTGGCACCTTCCAAGGCAGGTACAAACCCTGAACCTGCCCTGGGGCCTCAGGGAGACGAAGGTCATTGTTTCCATCGTTCGTTATATAGATGTACAGAGTGTAGGGAAGGGGATAGCTCTGACATATGTTCTTCTCAGCTTTTCCGATCATCTTGAACGGCAGCCCCACGCCCTGGCCCCTGTTGACCCAGGGCAGGGGGCGGGGCACACCCCAAGCGTCCTGCAGCTGACCTTCAGGTAGCTGTATCATTTACACACATTCCTATTGGCTTCCTGGGCAGCTGACCGGGGTAGGCCACATCAGGGTCCCTCAGTCAGCAGACAGGCACACGCCTGCCAGGGTCTTGGGTGGTGCGTAATCTTCCTGTGCCCCAGAAACCTACCCAACCTTGTTGAATCAGGATGCAAGTGCCCCAAGGGCTCCTTCCCCCAAAGACAGGCAGGCCCAGCTCTGTGAGGTGGCGGGGGCTGGAGTGCGGTGTTGACTGTGGGCCCTGGGCCTGGTGTCACCAGGGGGCCCGTGTCCTTCTGCCCCAGGTTTACCAGGAGGAAGAGACCATCAGTCTCCAAAATGTGTTCTCAGTGGTTGAACTGACCCCCAGTGCAGCACCCACTCCCGGGTCCAGCTCAGGTGGGTTCCCCTGGTCCAGCCTATCCTGCCCCGTGGCCTCTGCTGTCCACCAGAGTGTGACATTGCACACGGACATCCCCAGGACCCCCGGCCAGCCTCCCCCTCTGCCTTAGTCTTTTCTAAATGCCCTGTCGCTCAGGCCTCGGCTCCAGAGTCTTTCCCATCTTACCAGCCAGCCACCAGAGCAGCAGCTCCGACCCTGCTTCCACTCCCACACCCTTCCGTGTCCGCCCTGCCAAACCCCTAGTTCTGGTCTTGCCCCAGGTCCCCTCCACGGAGCCCACTGTGCGCCGTCTCAGTGGCACCTACCCCATCCTGTCTGTGGACTCCATGAATTCTCCCTTCCCCTTGTGCTGGGAAGTCCCAGTGCGCTTGGGAATGGTGGGAGGGGTCACAGGATGCCCTTAGGGCTAGAGGAGTCCCCCCACCCACACTTACCCCAAGTTTGTCCAGGCTTTGTGCAGGTCGGCAGTGACACCAGACTCGTGGCTGTGCAGGGGCCTGTGCCTGGTCAACCCTCCTGCTGCGAGGGGCCCTTGGAGCTGCCCGAAGCATTCACCTCCCCAGCCACGCACTTCAAGCCCATCGTCCTCGCACCAGACGCAGGTGCGGCCAGGTGAGTCACACGTGTGGCCAGGAGCGGGCTGGGTCGAGGAGCCCCTCCTGAGTGCTCTCTCCTGCTCACAGGGAGGGACTTGCCAGGGCCTCAGGGCCAGCAGAGAGGCCAGAGGAGAGGAAAGGCAGGCTGGATGGGGACATCGATGGGCAGAAGGCTCCTGAGGCCCACACAGTGGCCACCAGCTTGGAGACACCTCACCAGCCGGCGCCTGGTCCCAGATCATGTGGCACAGCCCCAGGACCCTCCAGAGAGTTGGCGCCAAGAGGGTTGGCCCAGGAGTGCCCCCATACCCCAGCTCCCACCTCATCAGTGATACCCCAGTCTTCTGTCCCAGCCCCACCCCTGAAGGCACAGGAGCCACTCCAGGAACAAGAGCCAGAGGAGACAGTCCCACCTGCAGCCTCTTCCAGAGGCCTTGGGCCCCATACACCAGAGCCCACTACAGCCCGCCATGGCCTGCATCACCCGGCCAAGCCACCCAGGAGCAAGGCCACCAAGGGCCCAGGCCAGGAGCCCCAGGGCCCCCCACTCAACCCCTCCCTGGTCAAGGCGAGTCCAGACAGCCCCAAGGGTACCCCAGACAGTCACCCCGAGCAACCCCGGCCAGCAGACCGCAAGCTGTGTCTATCCAATGTGGACGCCTTGCTTGTCCCGAAGAGCACGTCCTGCCCATCCCTGCAGGAGGCCACACGCCTCATCCAGGAGGAGTTCGCCTTCGACGGCTACCTGGACAATGGGCTGGAGGCTCTGATCATGGGTACTGGGGGCCACCAGGGCTGAGAGACACCCCAGGACCGGGGAGAGGCTGGGGGGGACACAGTGCATGGGGAGGGTCAGCGTGAGGGGGACTTCAGTCACCACATAGAGGGGCCCCACTCCTCTGTCTGCACAAAGAGCCAGTGAGCAGAACCCAGCGCCCCCCATGGGTCCTCTGGCAACAAAGAGGGTCTCAAAGCTCAGCTGCCTTCCCACCCCAGCCCCTGAGACCAGCCTCATTCATGCAGAAAGTGAGGGAACCCCCAAAATTGCTCACCCACATTTTAACTTGCCCCAATCATTTTGTAAAACCAGGGGAATATATTTACGCCTTGAAAGATCTCACCTACGCCACTTTCTGTGGGGCCATCTCAGAGAAGTTTTGTGATCTCTACTGGGGGGAGAAGCTGCTGCAGAACCTTTTCAAAGTGGTGAATGAGAGGACGTCACCCCCCAAGAAGTGAGTGCCCCTCCTCAGGCCCCGGGCTGCCCCTACCCAGGCCCCCAAGACAGACCCTCTGTGTTCACTGGCTGCTTTCTCCTCCTGCCCCCAGCATTCATCTCCACTGAGGGCCCCTCTCATGACTTGAAGCCCACCCTCCTTCCTTTAGGGAGGAAAGGGGGCCTGTGGAGTCGTGGGGCCGGAGGCACATCTCCCTGCTCAGGGACCCCCTGGAGGAGGCAAATAACCAGCAATCCCAGAGGGCGGTTCCCGCAGGGAACAGCATCTGTCCGTGTCTGACAGGCCATGCATTTTCATAGCATTGGGACAGGTGTCTAGAGCTCAGAGAAAGAACACACAGGGAGCCAGAGGTCCCCTATGTACCCTGGGAGGAGGGTGCCCCGTGATGCCGGTGGCCTGCAGTTGGGTCGTCCTGGGAAGGGTGGGCATGGATGGAGCTGCCCACAGCAGAGCCTCAGTTAAGTGGGCGAGTGTCAGGGAGGTGCTGGGGGCAGGTGGGCAATGGGCTCCTACATCAGACCCCAGTGTATTCACACTGTGGGGGCTGTGGGATGGCGGCCGTTCCCTAGTAAGAGGGAGGTTTCCCTTGGAAGATGTTGCAGAGGGAACCTGCGGCATTGGGGGGTGGCCTTGGGGCGAGGTCATGGAGGCTGCAGTGTCCTCCATTCTGGCGGCAGCATTTCGGAAGAGGCCGGGTCACAGCCCGAGGGCGGCAGCCAGGCCAGTGCACGAATCGGTTGCTCACCATCCAGCAAACGGCCCTTGCTGCACGGAGCAGGTGAGGGATGCGGGCTGGGGGACGGGGCACTTTCCACAGCAGGTTCATCTCTGTGTGGCTGGACAGTTATGGGAAAGGCTTCCCTTTGCCCCCCTCCTCTGGGGAGTCTGTCCTGTGAAGGGGGCTTCTCCCCACCCAGCAGGCGGGTGGGGCGCAAGCAGGTGCCCAGGTGGCCTTGGGGCCCTCGCTCCCCTTTCACAGTGTGAACCCGGGGATGATGCGTCACCTGCTCTGGCCCCCCCCTCTGCGGACTCAATCTTTATTGTGTCCGTCTGTTTGCACACAGTCGAGGGTTCCCTCAAATCTCCAGTCAGCCTCGCCCCCACATGACAGCCCATGTTTTTGAGGCCCCACTCCGGACCCTGAGGACCCTTGCGGCCCCTCTAGAGCTGAAATGGGACCACCTGGCCATCCCAAAGTAGCCTCTCTGTAAACAGTTCTTGTTGGACATTCTGTGTGACCTGCAGCTGCTGCCCCCAACTCTCTGTCCCCTGTCCAGGGAAGGACACACTGGCCACTCACAGCAGCAGAGCCCCCTGCCCAGCCCCCTCTCTGTCCGACGTGGACTCAGATGAGCTGTCCCGGGGCAACTTGGAGGTGGGATTTCGGCCTCAGAAGTCGGTAAAAGCCGAGAGGGAGCAGCCGCCAGAGACTGAAGCGGGCCAACCGCAGGCAGGAGGCCCGGAGCCAGCCAAAGGGACCTCAGACTTGGAGGCAGTGGCCCAGCTGGCCAGGCCTGAGGAGGGTGGCCTAATTGTGAACCCGGGCCCAGCGGAGTTCCAGAGCTGCAGCCCCGGCTGGAGCAGCGCCTTCTACGAGGCCGACTGCTTTGGCGCCGACGTCCACAACTTCGTGAAGGAGCTGGAGGGGCGGAAGGCCGATGGGGCCCCTGACACGTCAAGCCCAGTGAGTTCTGGGCCTCTGTCTACTGCAGGGCTGGGGGAGGGGGCCGTGTCCAAGCAGGAGTCCCAGTCTCTCCAGTGACAAAGGGTCCCTCCTTGTGTCTCCCATTCCCTGTGCCCTACTCACCCCCAGTGACCTCCATGCCGGCTGGGACACCCACCCCGTGCTCATCTGCACGTGTCCTCCACATTTTGGGATAGGAAACGGCTTTTCTCTCCTTGCTAGTGGAGCACATGGTTGCCAGGTGACAGTTGGCAGGAGGTCGCCTAGTCCTGGAGAGCTTGGTCAGGTTCAGGCCGTAGCTCTGGCTGTGGAGGCACAGCTCTCTCTGCCCAGTCAGCCCTCCACGCTCTTGTCCCTTTGGCAGCATCCCTTTGAGAAGTGCCTCTCAGTTCAGCCTGGGCCCCGGCAGTCCACCTGGTCTGGGTTTCCATGGTCCCTTAGGTGGAGGGCAGGAGGGTCAGCCTGGTCCCCTGTGCCTGCTGTTAAATATTAAATAGGCTTTGCTTCTAGGATTTGGGTGAATGGCCCTGACTCTGGACCACCTCTTTTCTCTCTTAATTCCTGGTTCTGCCAACTTCCTTCTGACTTGTTTTTTTGCTCCCCAGTATTTGGCCACCTTCTAACCTTTGTATCTTGGCTTCAGTGTCCCTCCTAGGGTCACAACAGGGTCCTCGGAAGGCTTTGTGATAAGCCCTGTGTGCCCATGTGCTGGCATGTTTTCCATGCTTTCATTCTGTGTGGGTCCAGCTGAAGTGTGAATTCTGGGACAACAGAGGGAAGTGTGTCCTACGGGTGCTGAGGCCACACTGGCCCCGCCCTGGGACCACCAGCTCTTTTCTCCCTAGGAGCTGGAGCAGCAGCTCATGATGGAGAAGAGAACCTACCGGAAGACCCTTAAGTTCTACCAGAAGCTCTTACAGAAAGAGAAGCGAAGCAAAGGTAGGGTCGTGTGTGCTCAGGGTCGCATAGGTGCCCCACAGGGCCAGGGCCTCTGGGTGCTGACTCTGCCCTGCCCCCAGGCTCCGAGGTGAAAATGATGCTGTCCAAACTCAAGGGGCAGCTGGAAGAAATGAAGTCGAAGGTGCAGTTCCTCGGACTGGTCAAGAAGTATCTACAGGCGAGTCGCCCTGCATTCCCGCGCCCCTCTCTAGTGGGTTTCCTATGGTTACAACCTTGGGAATCCACTGTAAAAACAAACCCTGAGCCCCGGCCAGTTTGGCTCAGTGGTTAGAGCATCTGCCTGCAGACCGAAGGGTGCCGGGTTCCATTCCAGCCAAGGGCACGTACCTTGGTTGCAGGCTCGATCCCCTGGTCCCGGGTTGGGTAGCATGCAGGAGACAACCCATTGATGTTTCTCTCCCGGCCCCCCACTTCCACTCTTTCACTCTCTGAAAAGCAATGGAAAAATATCCTCTGGTGAGAATTTTTTAAAAACCCTGACTTTTGAGGGGCCATAAGCTGTGCCACCATCAGGGCTCAGTGACAGGGTGACCAGGAACCAGTGTCCCTCACACACCTGGTGGCAGCAGCTCAGCCAGGCAACAGAGACTCACCGCCCCTCAGGTCCTGTATGCGGAGCGGTGGGGCCTGGAGCCCTGTGCCCTGCCTGTGATCGTGAACATCTCCACGGCCCACTGCGACACACTGGACTTCAGCCCCCTTGATGAGTCTTCGTCTCTCATCTTCTACAACGTCAGCAAGCACCCACGCGGCAGCAGGCAGAGGAAGGCCCGCGTCCTGCAGGCCGGCACGCCTCTGGGGCTCATGGCCTACCTCTACTCCAGGTGCAGCCCTGCCCGAGGGAGCGGGCCCACTTTCCCGTCACCTGTCGCCTCTGAGGGTGGGAGGGAGACAGAAAGGAGAAGCAGGCCCTTAGGAGGGGGGAGGGGGGTGGAAAGTCTTGCCTCCCCTCATCTGAGACGGGTTTGCACTGTTTTTACTTAGAAAGGAATTTCACCCAAGCTTTTTGACTTGCGGTAACTGCCACATGCCTCCTTTGCTGGGCTCCTGGTTTGAATGGCCTCAGAGCCACAGGTCCTACCAGGTGCAGATCTGTAGACCCAGGCGTCTGGATCTCCAGCGCCCCAGCGAGGCTTTGGAGGAGAGTGTGTGATTAACTGCCAAGCAGGTCTTCTCAAATTAAACACAGGATCTTCGGAGACACGCCTGAATCCTGTCCACTTTACCAAGTGAAAATGCCCCATGACTAATTGTCTGGCTCCCCAGGGGCTTCCGGTGCATTTGGGCTCAGGGCACTCATTGGAGTACTTATGCAGCTGCCACCAGTGGGTGTGAGCATTGCTTAGGTTCATCACACATCCCAATTAATAAGCTTGCCCTGCAGCAGGAACATCTGTCCACTCACACCCAGTGTCACAGGAAACCCCTAGGTAATACCCAGTACCCCTCCACCCCTCTGCCCACCGTGTCCATAGACGCACCGTGTCCTGCATGGGCCCCTCAGTTCCACCTGGCCCCCAGGCTCAGGACCTCTTGGCAGGCTCACTTAAACCAGATAGCTTGGCTCACACCCAGGCACGGGGCCACCGCCCAGGCTTGGCTTTTGGAGACCCGTGACACACCTTGGAGCCCCCAAGGTCCTCTTTGAGCTGGAGGTTGTGGTGACCCCACAACTGATGGCCAGTGACGCCGTGGGAAGCTCTCAGGGTACAAAGGCTCTTGACAGCCAGTGAGAAAAAGAGAGATCCTTTCTGCAGGGGCTCCCAGGCTTCCTGGGACAGTCGCTGCTTCCCACTGACCCCGTTCTCCAAGATGGGCTGCCCTGGTTGTTCCAGGGTCCCCAGGCTGCCCCTTAGACTGGGGCCGTGGCCTCCTCTTCTGTAAAACAGTGCCTCACACGCCCCCCTCAGGCCCACTGTGCTAGTGCAGGAGACGTGTGCGTGCAAGCAAGAGAAAGACAGCATTTCACTGAGCCCTTTGCAGGGCACACTGGTCACCTGCAGCTCCTCTTGCAGCAGTAAGGAAGCAGCTTTGCCAGGACTCCACCTGTTTCTCACTCCCAGACTGTCACAGACACACATGGTGTCACCTGATTGAAGCTTTCTGGGGCACCCCTACGGGGTGGGGTTACCCTTGAACACTCACCTGCCTGATTTCACCCTAACAACAGAGCTTCGGGGCACAAATTGTTGCTCTTCCCTAATGCAGTGACTTCCACTTTGGGGCTGGTGACTGCACGTGCACAAGCGTGAGAATTAATAGGTTCTAGAAGGAGACTAATGGGGGCCTTAAAAAGTGATGGCCACTCACACATAGAACTCACACACGTCACACTTATATTCACACTCACACATCACACAAAACACACATCACACACACCACACATACATCACACAAAATACACACATCACATTCACACACACCACACAAAACACCATTCACATCACACGTTCACTCACACGTCACACATATTCACACACACGTCACACTTATATCCACACACACATTCCTACTCACACTCACACACACATTGCCCCAGAACCACTAGCGAGGGCTGTGGGTGGCAGCACACAGGCAGGTGCGGCGGGAGGCCTGTGGCCGGCTCTGACGGGCCCCTCTGCGCAGCGACGCCTTCCTGGAGGGCTACGTGCAGCAGTTCCTGTACACCTTCCGCTACTTCTGCACACCCCACGACTTCCTGCACTTCCTTCTCGACCGCATCAGCAGCACCCTGTCCAGGTACGCCCTCCCAATGGGCAGCATCCCACAGGGTGGGCCCCAAGCCCCTCGTCTGGTGACCTCGACAAGGAAAGAGGGCTGGAGAAGGTTGGGGGGGATGGAGGAGGCCGGGGGGGTCACTGCTGCAGAGAAGGGAGCCAGCATTGGCAGGAGGAGACTGTGACCTAGCCTGGAGAGGCCACTGGAGGGTAGGGATGGGGGAAGGCAGAGGGTGCACATAGAGACAAGTGGGGAGGGTCCTGCAGCCCACCCACAGCCAAGGAGCTGGGGTGCTGAGGGAAGGGGCGGTGGGCAGTGGGTGGATACACTCAGGCTGTTCTCTGAGCTGTGACTCCCCACCCCTGTGCACCCTCTCACCAGGCTGGGAGCCCTGGCAGTCTCGGTTCATCCTTGTGGGAGAGGGGTGCATGGGAGACCTCCCTCATTCCTTCCACAAGGGGAGCTAGGCTCCCACCCTGACTGTTGAGAAGTGCTCTCCCTCAGCTTCCTGCTCCCTGGTATCCTGGGCACTGGCTATGAGGGTGGCAGGTGCCCCAGGACAGGCACTAGGGCAGGTGCAGAAGAGGCCAGGTCCTGCCCTGTGACGCTGAGCCCTGGACCCCCTTGTGTGGTGGCTGCTGTCTCTCCCCTATTCCTGGTCGGGTAAGGGCTAAAATATCTCCTTGAAGACAGCTGCATTCAGACCCCACACACACACCCTTGCTTGGCCATCTGCCTCCAGGACCCACCAGGACCCCACCTCAACCTTCACCAAGATCTACAAGCGCAGCCTCTGCCTCCTGCAGGCCTGGGTGGAAGACTGCTACACTGTGGACTTCACCAGGAACGCCGGGCTGCTGGGGAGGCTCGAGGACTTCATCTCCTCCAAGGTGACCACTGGGCAGCACTCGGTAGTGGTAGCCACCACCCTACCCAGGACACAGCCATGACCCCTCTGCTTCTGTCCAGATCCTGCCCCTGGACGGCTCCGTGGAGCACCTGCTGGGCCTCCTGGAGGTGGGCACAGACCGGAGGACTGAGGGTGCCCCACACAGCACAGACCTGGAGGACCCCAAGGAGACCGAGGAGGTCACTAGACCCCTCAACGCCCTCTGTAAGAGGCTTTCGGAAGACAGCATCTCCCGCAAGGTGGGGGCCTTTCCCAGGGGTGGGCCTCCCATGACAGGTGCTGCTCCCAGCCCGGAAGACCCCATGTGCTGTGCACCCACACGCAGACATGCACACACACATATGCACATTTGCATACACTCACGCATGTATGTGCTCATGTGGGCACATGATCACACGTGTGCCCTGTACATGCACATGCATGCATGCATGCAAATTCTTGCAGGCACGTGTGTGTGTGCATGCACACACAGGTACACAAGCATTCAGAGGCATACGTGCACACAAGCACATATGCACACATACTCCATACTGCCAGTCTTGGGGCTGGCACTTCCTGTCCCCCCTCACCCTGGGCAAGGACAGCAGAAGTGCTAAGATGACCTCACCTTCCTGAACCTTGGACCAGAGATCCAGGTAGAAGGAAGCATTGTCAGGAAAAGTCCTGAGCCAAGCGCAGCAACTGAGGGAACCTTTCCATAGTATATGGCAATAGCCCCAAACTCAGTGGCTCTGTTTACGAGGGATCCCCTGAAATGACCAGGGAGAGTGTCCTCGAGCCTATACAGCTACAGGCAGGAGGGATGTGTTCTCTGGCTCTAGCTGAGCCAGGCTGAAGGGGCCTGGGCCTGGGTCCTCTCCCACCCCTGCCCCCCTGCAGAGCTTCCCCTGGAAGCTGCCCCGGGGCAATGGGCTGGCACTGCCACACCACAAGGAGCGCCAGTACACCATCGCATCCGCCCTGCCCAAGCCCTGCTTCTTCGAGGACTTCTGCGGCCCCTACGCCAAGGCCAGCGAGAAGGGGCCCTACTTCCTGACTGAGTACAGCACCCACCAGCTCTTCACCCAGCTGACACTGCTACAGCAGGTGAGGGGCCAGCTAGGCTGGAGGGCAGGGCCCACGCAGCTCACCTGTGGGGCATCAGCAGGGATGCTTGGGTGCTTACAGGCCCCCACAGATGTTTGCTGGAGGGGCACACTGACACACAGTGAAGGGAGCCTGGTTGACGTGCACAGGCCAGGGTGGGATGCCCCCTAAAAGGGACCCAGGAGGGACTTTGGCTCTGGGCGCACAAAGGACACACCAGGCCTGCTGCCCACCCTCTTGTGTCCCTGACACTCCCACCTCTAAAGCACCAGAGGGTGCTCTTCACACCACCATGGGTACCACCTCGAATACCACCACCTCCCTCCTGGATCTGGGCAGATGGTCATTCTTTGTGCCCTTGCACCCAGGAGCTCAGACATCTCTAGGCCCCTTTGCTCCCCACTGGGCCCAGCCCCCAAGCATCCCCTTCCCACCATCCTGATACCCCATGTCACTCAACAAGTGAAAGTAGTGACATCAACCCAGTGCAATCACAACAGGGCAGGGGCCAGGCCCTACAGCACACAGGGCAAGCATTGCAGAAATGATCCCCACCCCCAGTGCCCAGGACAGTGCCTTGAGGGTGAGGTCCCTGGGAAAGGTACCCTGACCGTCTGTGTCCTTGTCTCCTCAGGACTTGTTTCAAAGGTGCCACCCTGTCCACTTCTTAAACTCGCGAGCCCTGGGCGTAATGGACAAAAGTGCGGCCATTCCTAAGTGAGTGTCTTCCCAGGGTGTCCTCCCGCAATCCTGGGATGGATGGTTGGCAGGAGGGTGTTGGCAGCTTCACCTAAGTGTCTCATGGACACTCTTGGCTGAAGAGAGATCCTGGTGTCAGGAACGGCCTGGGAGCTGGAGCCTCTACAGGTGCACAGCCCATCCTGGACCAGGCCCCAGCGTGGGTCCTTGCTGTGACACAGACCTGTGTCTCTTCCAGAGCCAGCTCCTCCGAGTCTCTGTCGGCCAAAACCTGCAGCTTATTTCTGCCCAATTACGTCCAGGACAAGTATCTGTTACAGCTGTTAAGAAATGCAGATGATGTCAGCAACTGGGTAGCTGCCGAGATCGTGACCAGCCACACCTCCAAGGTTGGCGCCTCTACAGCTGTGCGCTCAGAGCAGGGTGTGGGGTCTGGCTGCACAAGCGAGCAGCCTTCCTGAGGGGCCCATCGTTGGTCTCCCAGGGCAGGGGCTTCACAGGCCTTGCCCCAGGCCACGGCTTCTGTCGGCCATGACCTCAGACACACCATCCAGCCATCCAGTGGGCACAACCTGTCACACTCAAGCCTGGATGGCTCTTCACTCTCCTGGGGATGCACACTGGCTCTGGGCCGCCATGACAAGGCTCTGTCCTCCATGGAATCTGCACACGTCACACACACATACACTGCCTTATACATATAGTTCACACACAGACACACACACACCCCATCCTGCTCGCACACACTCAGGGCTCAGAGAACACTCCCTGGGCTCCCTCCACACTCCTGCCTGAGCCATGTCCCGGGCTGAGTTGTAACTCCCAGCTGCCCCACTAACCTGAACTCTTCAAGGGTGGGGATTGACTTGGTCGCTGTCACATCCTTGCAGACAGCACCTTGTATGTCCTAAGCCAGTTGGTAGAATAAATAAAACTCAGGTCTGTGGTCTGGTCAAGGTCAGCCTCCCACTTTCCAGGGGGCCAGGCCCAGCCTCTTCTAACCCCTGAGGCTTGGGCTAGACCAAGAGTATCTCAGCCTGAATTAACCCACCTGCTTCAGGCAGGGCACTGGGCAGGCCAAGGGGAAAGGTCACTGGGTCAAAGCCCCAGGAGCTGCCCCAGAGACCACCAAGGCCACTGTCTCCCCAAGGTAACATCCACTTCTGGCATTAACAGCCTCTGTAATTTGTTTTCCTTTCCCGATACTCCTTTGTGTCCCCCACCCTGAACCTGGCAGGGCAAACCCAAGTCCCATTAATAAATGTAGTTTTTTACTTCTTTCCCATTTGGGGAGAATTTTCGAGCTTAGGAGTTTATTAGTTGACAGACTGATCCACCCTCACTTCTGCCAGAACATAGGAACAGGGAGCCTGGGCTCACCTGGTTTGTCCTAATTTACGATGTTACAAATATCATAGCATCAAGCGTAGCTTTGCTATGTGTCTGTTATAACCGGAAGACGCTGAATGCACCGTTTCCCATGTCAGTTGCAGGTAAATCTGCTTTCCAAATTTTTGCTGATTGCAAAATCATGCTACGAACAGAGGAACTTTGCAACTGCCATGCAGATCCTGGGTGGCCTGGAGCACCTTGCCGTAAGGCAGTCCCCGGTGAGTCCACAAGGGCTGCTGGCCTGGGCCGTGTGTCCTGGGGGCTATGGGCGCCAGCCCACTGCAGGGTCTCACTTGTGCTCTCATTCTAGGCCTGGAGACTTTTACCTGCAAAGATAGCAGAGGTCATGGAGGAGCTGAAAGCCGTGGAGGTACTCCTGCTTTGCGTGAGCTTCCTGCAGCTGTTTTCACCTGGGGCTCCTCCTTAATGATGCGATCTGCACAGCTTGGGGGTGGCACCTGTCAGAGCCAGCATCAGGGCCCCGGAGCAAACAGCTCCCTCAGAGTCACGCATGGAGCAGCCCAGCTTTGCCCACCTCCCCACGGGGCCTCTGCCACTTACCTGGACAGCTGGGAGCTCAGGGGCTCCAGAAACCCACCTGCTAGGCCAGTGGCACAGGATACCGGTGCCCAGAGGACCAGAGCTTGGCTGGCTGGCCAGCCTCCTTGCCACCTGGCAAAGTGCAGAGGCGGCCTCACAAGATCATAAATGAGGAAACAGCATTTGGGGCAATGGGGCATTTCCCCCAAATAAGGCGGCAGAAGCAGGCCCCAGCCCGGACACAGCTCCCCGTGGATGAGAGGGCTGTGTGTGTCCTCGGCTGACACCAGACATGGGGGCCCCTGCAGCTGGCCAGCCCCATCTTGGTCTCATTTGGGGAGTTGGGTCACCAGGCTCTTTCCTGGAGCCCATGGGAGATTGAGTTAAGGAAGGAATTTGCCATTTCAGTAGTGGGAAGTGTCCAGCTTTCTGAGGGGGCCAGTGTTCCCTTTGTGGTGTCCAAGCTTAAGACATCTGGACTTTCGATCCCCGGTCTAATCTGAAGTGCATGTGGGCAGGTTGTAAGTCCCAAGGCTGTAGCGCCACGCTGCGGGAATACAGGCACCATCCGGGGTGGACTGGGCTGAGCCAGCCCCTGGCTGAGCACCCAGGGCTGACCTCTCGCCTGTCTCCCTTATCCACACCCCCGGCTGGGCCATCAGGTGTTCCTGAAGAGCGACAGCCTGTGTCTAATGGAAGGGCGACGCTTCCGGGCCCAGCCCACCCTGCCCTCAGCCCGCCTCCTGGCCATGCACATCCAACAGCTGGAGACCGGGGGCTTCACCATGACCAATGGGGCCCACAGGTGGAGCAAGCTCAGGTGAGGGGCCCATGGGTGCAGCAAGCTCAGGTGAAGGGGGCCCACAAGTGGAGAAACTCAAGAAAGGGGCTCACAGGTGCAGCAAGCTCAGTTGAGAGCCTCCCCTGTCCCCCTTGCTCCTCTGAGGCCTGGGCCCCCTGATCCTCACTCAATTCTCATCCCAGCCCAGGGCCTCCCAACCCCCTACCCCTTACCTGCTGCCACCTCCTGCTCTACAAACTAAGTGGTCTCAAAACATTGCGCCAAGGTCACTCTGACCTTCCGGTTGGGAGATCTAGGCCTACCTTGAGGCTCACCTCAGTTGGCATGTGACTGCCCTCCCTGACCCGCAGGTGTCACATCTTCCCTCTCTCCCTGCCTCCACTGTCCCCTTTGGGCACCTCTCCCTAGAACTGTCCATGTAGGACTCATGATCAGTCCCTCAGCCTGCTCCTGCAGTCCCACTGCTCACTGCCCAGCACAACTGGGGACTCACCTGGGAAAAGCAGACTGGAGGCCTGGCTGTAAAAACCACCACCATGACCCCAGCCCAAGAGGACATTGCTCCTTTCTGCCTCGGTAGGGGCCCTCAGAAGCTCCACCTCCAGCCCTACCTGTCCTCAGAGTTTCATGCCCATGTCTGATGCCACCCTGGGCCAGCCCAGTTCCAGGGGCATCCTCACTCCCACAACGTCCACCACACCCTGTTCTCTCCCTGCCTCTCCTCTCACCCTCCACACAGGCAAGTGGGGGCTGGTCAAGACACAGTCCATCCCCACATCCTCAGTAAATATTTGTGAAATGGAAAGTGGATGGATGGACGGGTGGATGGATGGACGGATGGACGGATGGACAGATAACAGGCCTGAGTAATGAAATGAGGTTTGGCTTTGTCAATACAGACAGCTCAGAGTTTGTACTTTGAAGAGCTTTGGTCCAACCATTGTGGGCACGTCGGGAATTCAGGAGCCGCAGAAAGCTGCCCAGTGACCCATGCAGACTGGTGACTAATTTCTTTCCCCAACACAGAAACATAGCCAAGGTGGCGAGCCAGGTGCACGCGTTCCAGGAGAACCCCTACACCTTCGCTCCCGACCCCAAGCTGCAATCCTGCCTCAAGCAAAGAATCGCACGGTTCAGTGGGGCTGACGTGTCCATCTTAGCTGCAGACAGCAGGGCCAGCTTCCACCAGATGGTCAGCGAAAAGCATTCTCGGAAGATTCAGGACAAGTTACGGAAAATGAAAGCCACGTTCCAGTGACGGAGGACGGTGGGTCTGGATGTGAGATTCCACACCAAGGACAGAGCTGGGGAGAAAGGAGCCCACCTGCTCACTGCTCCAGGCCAAACGGCCCTGCGGGTGCAGCACCCGCCGCCTTAGACTAGGGACCCCCAACACGGGCCCAGCCTGGGCCTCTGGGTGCCAGGATGGGGGAGCATGAGGCTCAGACCACAACCAGGAGGGAATGAGCACCAGTGCAGGTCAGGGTGTTTCTGTTAGAAAATTTAAAAAATCTTTTTAATGAAAATAGAGTAAGTCAGGACCCCAGGATCAGAGAAAAACGGCTCTCACCACTTCTCCAGTGATCCACCCCA